CTCTTGCACCTCCCTGGTGAGACCCCCCAAACCTCAGCCCTCAAAGCTCACACCTTTCCCCAAATAGGAGCCTCAGGATAGAGTATACTGGGTTGCTGTTAAGGAACTTAAGTTAAGTTACTATATTGGGGAGACCCTATTATTTAGTATATGTACCCATTATGGTAACTTCATTTAAGTTCCGTAACACCAACCCAGTTTTCTGGGAAGGGTTCTGGGGTGTTTAAGGGTTCAGGAAGGTTTAGGTTGGAGGTTTAGGGCTTAGCGCAAGGAATAAGGATTCAGGTCTGAGGTTTAAAGACTTGTTTTCATCAGAAGCAATATCATGGCGATCATGAAGATAAGAAACGGCACTTGCAAGCATGCACGTCCTTCCCTTTGCGATGGCACATTTCGGCACCTCACCTGAGTATTCTGCTCCTTGACGACTATGCTTGGGATGCGTTTGGTTCTTCCAGGGCGTGAGGAACAGGACCTCCATTGCAATCCCGCAAGAAAGGATCTAAAGAAGGAAAGAGAAAGAGAGAGAGAAAGAGAGAAGACCTTCACCTTGTGAAGTCCTGCCAATAGGCCCAAAGTCCTAGATCCCAAATTCAAATCCTCAACATACAGGGGTCTCTACTAACCTGCCAAAAAAACCCTTCTGTCCACCCGCTATTAGGGTTTAGGGTTTAGGGTTATGGCGTCTTGGAAACCCTAATACAAACAGTAGTTACCAAAATGCCTTTCAAACACTATGGAATCCCAGGTCTCCATGGCGGTTTCCATGTTCTTGACCATGTAACTCTCCGATATTCTCCAACAGTGGAGTAGAGACCCCTAATCCCTGAACCCTAAACCTAAACCGTAATCCCTCAACCCTAATCCTTAAATCCTCAAGCCCATATAAACTTACCATTCCTTAGGGTTCAGGAATTTCCTTAATCTCAACATTTCAAATTGCAAAATTTCAAAAGTTCAAGCGCAAAAATCCGCCCTCCAAGCCCTAAATGATAGGAACAAATCCTAACCCTTAGACCCTAAAATCTAATCCCTAGACCCTAAACCCTAAACCCTAAACCTTCATCCCTACACCCTAAACCCTAAACCCCACACCCTAATCACTAAATCGCGGAGCTCCGGGCCTCTCCGCGACTGGCTCTGGGAGAGCCTCAGCCTCTGCGTCGGCGATGTCCTCCAAGATCTCCTTGCTTTGGATGATTGTTTTGGGTTTAGGGTTGAGGGATCAGGCTTGCTGTTTAGGGTTTAGGGGTTGGGTAGTAGGATTTGCGGCTTAGGGTTTTAAGGTTTTAGGGTTTTAGGGTTTCGCGTTTGGGGTTTTAGAGTTTAGGGTTAAGGGCTGGGCATCCCGTATTTCCCACCCTCTAAAACCCACATCCGGAACCCTTAACAACAAAGCCAATCAGGTTTAGGGGAGTGGGACCGTAGCGCCACCAGCCCTGAGATCCCAATGACCCTAAGCCCCCAACCTGAACACAGCAGGCACCTTGTCACCAACACGGAACAACTGCTCTTCCTGATGGACCTCAGATGACCAGAAGAGATTTTGGAGTCTTGGGGGTTTAGGGTCTGGGGTAATGTGGCTGGTACTCTTGTTCCACATCAGGGATCCATACATACGTCCCTGTGAAACCAAGACCCAATCAAAGAGAGTGCCCGTCTGCATGCAAAATTCCTAGAAGTACCCTCTGAACCCTTCACCCTAAACCCGTAAATTCAAACCCTAAACCCTGAACCCTAAAACCTAAAACCTACATCCTAAACC